CCCCAAAACCCCAAAACCCCAAAACCCCATAAAGGGCTATAAGAATTGGAATAATTATTAAATATTAATGAATTTGAAAAACACTGAGTCCACTGCTTCTACATTACTTTTGACTGAAATTTCCTCTCAAAATGAAGACAAAATACAGCAAAGGAAATTTTATAACTGTACCCAATCAAGAAATAGAAAACTTAGCGATAAGATACTGATAAGTGCCAAGTTCAAGATAAATTTAAAAGAGAGAACAAAAATTGCTAGGAGTCTATCCAGAGAAACGCCGAAATTTCCTCGTAAGTCTCTTTTTTTCTGTAAATATTTAGCTTCGCAACATTTTTCTGACTCTTTGTTTAGATCCAAAAGGAAAGGTGAAGTTATCCCCCAGCCTGCTTGTTAAAAAGAAAGTTTGGAGGCCAACCCCTATCAAACTAAACTTCCCAAAGAATGTTAACAGCAATATTAAAGGTCATAGCAGAAATACAAGAGTCAATACTAGCTTCGAGAAGTTCATCACTCATGATCATGTTTCTGCTCTAAAAGAGATTAATGAGTCGCTTAACAGCTATACAGACTGTCCTACACTTGAAAATAGAGCCACAGGTAGGTTTACAAGCCCAATTTTATGATAACTTAAATTTTACAAAATGTTAGAAAATATAAAATTCGATCATTTAAGAGTGTTTTTGAATATAATTCTAAATAAAAGATGTCTAATATTTTCTTTTAATCGATATCTTTCGGACCTTCACATCTCCTATAACCCAAATCTCGCTAAGACACCCCTTCTTCACTTAACCTCCTCCTAAAACCTCCATAAAAATCCCTACCATCCAACCCCATCAGCCCTAAACTATCCCTTATCCCCTATCCCCAACCCCCCTTCTCAAAATCCTTCTTCCCCCAAAATCCCATTAGCCACCTCTCACAATCCAAAATCTGTCCCAAATTCTTATAATCTCATTTCCCCAAAAGAGCCGCCTAACCCCACATCTTTTGTCTCCAGTCACAGACTGCTACTTCTCAGCTGGCTTAGGAACAAGCTGAAGAAGGCAGGCTCCAGTGGCCATAGGTGTTCTTAAGCTAGAAGTGGTACGTTGGGATAGGAGGCACTGGGATTGTTTCTATTTTAATCCTTCAGGTCTTTTCAAAATCCAGCGAGATTAAAGCATCAGTTTTTACACAAACACTCTTATCTTTTCTCCAACTTCATATTAAGCCGAAAAAGAAATATTCAATTTAGTTGAGTTTCCTACCTCTTTGGTTCCCCAAAATCTGAGAGTTTCTTACATATTATCCATGATAAATAGAGAGGATTATTCGATACAGTTAATTATAGTCTCATATAAAACAGCATTGAGAGATCTTCAGCACGCTTTATTAACAATAACACTTAGTCTACCAAACCCTTAAATTCCGATTTAAATATTATATTATTTTGGAGAATAGAGACGAAACAATTCGGAAGTACTATTTCCGACCTATTCACGATTATTTGGGTAGGTTCCTAAGTGTAGTCCCAAAACAATTTTGAGAACTTCTCCATACAAGACAAGTTAAGTTTCTGCGTAAAAATAGTAGCTTTAGTTTCATATTAATACTTAAGTTTTAATAACAAAATGTATCATTTAAGTTATTTTTATCATTAATCTCGCCTAATTCTGAATAGGATTCATGGCCACAATTTTTCAAGAAAGATCAGTGTCTCTTCACAGATCTAGGATAAGCAAAATTACTAAAGCCTGCACCAGTGTTGACCAGAAGAGAGAGACACCCATTAATAAAGTACAATATTTCTTTTTCTAATTCTTTAGTTTCTGAGATCTCTAAGTAAGATGAATCCATCTCTGAGGTTCCCTTCAATCAGCAAGAAAAATCAGGATCTTGAGCAAGTTATTTCTAGGTACCAGCGTTAAGCCTATCAGAGCCTAGCTTTGCCTTGCTCAGTTCTAAATCTCAGCACGGCTTTTATAAAATCCTCTTAAATCGTTGATCACTAAAAATCCCTCTATAAATTTCCTACTCAACAAAAACTCCAAGCTGCAGCCAGCCTGGCTGCTTGCCAGTTCAGGCTTGTCTAGTTGGGAGAATGAGCATCGTATTTTTAGGAAGAGAAGGGATTAGGAATATTTGAATGGAGATTTCAACACGAGTTTTGGAATGAGGGGTTTTGGGGTTTTGGGGTTTTGGGGTTTTGGGGTTTTGGGGTTTTGGGG